AGATTCAAAACAACTAAAAAAAGGCGCAGGCATAAAAACAGAAAACTCACTTGTTCAAAAATGGAGAAAGCATCTAGGTCGGGGTCATCTTCAAGCCCTGTGAGACATTCTCGAAAGATGTCATGCCCCTCATAGCTTGTTTCCACTTCAGAAGACCTCAAATTCTGAGCCTCTTAGATTTGCCCCTCGGAGAACTCGAGGCCAGGAGGTGAATCATCCACGTTGATTACCCCAAGTGATACACTCGGGACATTCTCTTTTATTTGAAGAGGCTCGGGGAAAAGTCGTTCGGCTTGGCCCTCCAAATGATCTCCTAGGTGAGGTACCTTCTTTTAGGATGATAGTTCGGGGACTTTGTTTGAATTCCCTTCGGAGATGTCTTCTGCTCTGGAATGAGCCACATCAGCCGCCACCGGCTCGATGGGCTTCGAAGTATCGACATTTTTTCTTTTATGGGTTACCCGTAGGCTGTCATCGTTTTCTTCTTCCTCCTGATACCGAAGGCGTTGGGCCATTTCCGAAGATAAGGCCGTTGTATTGGTCTTAGGCCTTTGAGCCACACTCTTCTTTAGCTTCAGGGGATTTTCAGATGACTCTCTTCTTCTTATTTTTCTTTAGAAGGCTTCGGAATCTCCACTTCTTCAGTCGGGGCCAGCCGCAAATCAACGATGTCTCCGAGACCTATATGAAATCAAGGTAAGTATCCCGTAACAGAGGCACAGGAAAATAAACAAGAGAACTCACCATGGTTTTTGGCCTCCCGTCAACCCTTAGCTAGATCTCGTCAGCAACGCTCCGAGTAAGAGGAGGCGGAGGCCAGCTTTCAGACCTAGCCCTCGAGGTTTAGGACCCCATCAGGAAACCACGCAGCGGTTGCACCATGGTAAAAGGGTTAGACCAATGAAAAATACGAAACCGCGGAAGAGAAAAGAAAGCAGGGTATAAACCTACTGCGTACTTACATTTCATGTTCCACTCCTCGGGGAACGACATCCAATCAGCAGAAATCATATCGGAGGTCCTGACTCGGACAAACCGGCTCATCCACCCACGGTCTTTGTCCTCATCGATACTAGAGAAGAAAGATTTTAAGGATCGACATTGCAATTTTATCAAGCCCCAAAGATAAAGTCGAGGACTATACATTCTGATCAGATGATTGAGGGTAAAAGACATACCCTCAATTTGGCTAGAAAGAACCTGATTAAGTAAACGATTCACCATAAGGAGGGGTAGATCTAGCCAAGTGTCACTCGGCATCGTTGGCAAAAGTCAAGAATAACTAGATTTATGAGACCTTGAGCCGGAATTGCAAGACCCAACGTAAAAGGGTAAGTATATACGCTCAAGTACAACGCTTTATACGTAGTGATGTCCTCTTCGGAGGAAGGAATCACTATTTCTTTGTTATCCCACTTGCAATCCTCCTTTACCTACCTGAGCTCGGCCTTGGTCACCAAACAAACATATCGAGACATGGGCTCGCATCGACCTGGTATCGATACAGGTTTTTCGATTTTGAAATCAGATGTTATTTCACATGGTGGGGGGATGCACTCCTCAATATGAGGAGGCACTACCGGTTTACTCTTGGTCGATCGAGAAGATAAAGAAGCCTTTTCTTTCTGGGAACCGATTTAGAGGTTTTAGCCATCGTAATGCGGAAACTCCAAGAAAATGAAAAGTGCTGATAGTAGAGAGAAGGGAGAGTTCAAGGAAATTGAAAAAGGCTAATGAGATTATTAGAACAATATGATAATAAAGTTTATAATGTTGTGAAATCTGTCTATTTATAGAGGTCTTTTAAGCATGTTGAGGAAGCTAAAAGGCCGACCGCCAACCGCCTCCAATTAATGATTTTAGAAATTGTACAAAAATAACTTTTCAGTCGCTTCAACTGTTGATGTTACGATATTGGCATCAGTATCAAGGCATCAAGGATTAATTTGTCAAAAACCATAAAGGGCAGCCTACAAGTCGAGTTCGAGCACGGTATCCACTGGATTACTAAACCCAAGGGCTATCCGAGTTTGAGGAATTACTCACTCGAAGACTGTGAAAAGGCCTAAGGGCTATCCTTATTACAAGTTCGAGCAAATGCTCACTCGACTGTAAAAGCCTATGGGCTACCCGAGGTGGAGAATTTTCTCACTCGGGGATTGCAAGGAAATCTAAAGATTTACTTCAACTTGAGATTTTTCTCTCACCTAACTCGGGCTCGAGAATCCCGACATTCTGAGTTCACATTTAAGCTCAGCTCAAGGATTAACAAAAACCTCGAAGTGTATTGCATTGATCAATTAAAAATCTAAGGGTTTGTTGTGTCCTAAGCTCGATATTTGGGCTGGTCATTAAAATCATAAAATTGAGTCTTTTACGAATAAAGATAGAATAAAATTCAGCATAGGCCGAAAGGGATACAAAGGGATCCTTTTATACTTCCAAGAAATGATTACAAAGTGTAACTATGGCACCCACGAAGGATACTTACACAGGAACAAAGAAGCAAAAAACAAAAGCCAAAGATCCTAATTCACTTTTGAGGCCACGATCTCGTGAGGAGTGTCTCCAGAAATCCCTTTCTCGGGGGCACCATTTCCGATCTTTGGAAATGTTTGGCAGAAGACCCTCGGTAATTGTAATTATACCCCCAGTAACCGAGATTGAGCATTCCGTTGAAATTTCTGGCCATAATATATTAAGAAAGAACAAGCTAAAGGAAAAAAACAAAAGGGGTTGCAAGATGCACAAGCAACAATCCAAGAGTGTTCATCCTCGGAACTCTGTTCCGGTGTGGGATGCAAAAGTTAGTAGATAATAGTGCCACCTCATTCCATGGAAAGCAAAAGGAATGAAGCACCACACCAGGTTGAAGTTAAGAGAGATGAGCAGCAGTATAAAGTTCGCATATCTTCTGATACGGGAAGGATTCAGTTCCCTTCTCTCGTTGTCTCGAGCCAAAGCTTTAAAAAAGGAAAGCTTGGCATAACTGGAAAGTTTCTTCTATGAGACCTTGTGGTCACAGACTTGAACCATAGAAATAAGTGATTAGAGGAAGAGATAAAGCAGGGAAAGGGCTAAAAGTAGATGAAGAAGGAACGAGTATAGTTTTTGTTCAGCCAAATACCCCCTTATTTATAGAAAGCCGACGACGGAACCGGCGGCGCAAGTGGCCGAAAAAGCTGAAACGTATTTGATATTTTGGGGAAACATGCTGACATGACATTTTCGATCACTTAAAGCGCCTACATCACGAGCATGACATCATCCTGAGAGGCTTGGGAAGATCGAGGATCAAATCGTTTCTTATCACCTTATTCTAAGAAACACGGGGACTATCTGTATATGGTAAAAATCAAGGAGCCCAATTTCGAAGTCTTAAATTGGGCCATGGGTTCGAGTTCGGGCGACTCGAAGTAGGGGTCGAACCCGACTGAAGGATACACACCTCGAGGAAGTAGATCGAAGGCCTGACATGACCTACATCGAGGGCAGTACTATCTCATAGACACTCAAGAAAGAGCAGGAATTTCTCAAGAACACGTGGGCCAGGACAGAAATTATAGGATAAGATCTATACGAAATAGTACAAGTCCGTACTAGGTTGTTATACAACTGTACCAATAGAATTCTTTATTATAATTAGAAATGTACTATATTGGGGTTTTCTCCTCCTATATAAAGGGGGCCCCAATCATTTTGTAAGCATCATCTCACATTATTCACTGCAATAGAATATTATACTCTATTTTTCTTGTTTACCGTGCTCATGACCAAGTGTTCTTCAACTTTATTGCTTTTACTTTACTGTTCATATTTCATTGCTCTTAGCTCACCTCGAGGCCCCTAAGAAAATCGAGCTCGAGGTCCTTATTGCTCTAGTAATACTGGTTTGGTTCATCAATTCTTCTTACTTAGACCTAATATTATTTGTATATTCCCTAATATTAGAATAAATCACATATCATTAAAACCACAAATCATATTTAATTGTCAATCCCATTTTTCGAGGTAAACAAAATAATAATCAATTTAGGAGGCAAAAAGATAGGTATTATAATACATCTAGGTATCGGTTGAGATAATTGTTCTTAACTGAGTATAACTTATTCTATGACATGACATTAAAGATTAAATTTTACATTAATATTTGAACTTCTTTCTTTTTCTTGTAATCACTGACTACCCTAATAAGTTCTACGAATTGCATGACGACATAATAAGCTTTTATTCCATTCCTCGTTCACTGTATGTATTCTGCTGATTCAGGTTAAAATAACTGCATTTATTTGGGATGCAACACTGAGTAGCAACTTGGTTACTTATTTTAGCACTATTCTTCATTTTAAAATCTCATCCTATCATGAAATAAGAAATACTCCATACTGAAACTTGCAAGAAAAGTAAAATATTCATCAAACCTTCATAGTTTTACCAAAATCGTGTTTCTCCATACGTTAATTAGATTTTAAGCAAACAAGAAAGGCCCACCAAGATGATCAAACAAAAACCTAGTAAAGTATCTTGAGATAACAAAAAAAAATAGAGATAGACAACTAATTAATATCCTGATTTTTTTTTTTAAAAAAACAACTAAAACAAAATTTTAATTTTTGAGTATACAATAGGCCCTGCACATAGGTGATTCAAGATTTTAATTTGATGGTTTCAATAATGCATTTCGTGCTTGTGAAATTTTAGATAATATTTATTGAAATTTAAATAATTTGTTCACGTATAATCTGAATTTTGTGTAGAAATAGTGGATTTAGTTGGCCTCATTGGATAAAGCTGTATCAAGCCTCTGCATAACATTAGTAGGAGATAGTCAACACCATAGCGGGAGAAGAAGGGCTAATCATGATCATATAAAGAATTAATTAAGTAAAACCCTAAGTACCAAATAATAATAATTAAATAGTGATCATCATTAGACTTATAATAATTAACTCCATTTATAGTTCTCATCTCTCAAGATATGAACTAATTAGCAATATTAATTAAGCAAGTTGGGATTCTCCATGGGCATCCATGTGAACAGCATCTGAAGGAAGAAAAGGAAACTGATTAAACTCTTCCATCAAACCATCCAAGAAACCTCCACCAGAATTTGCATTTCTCCATATCTCTTCTTCACCTTTTATTCTTTCTCTCCACTCTGAGGGATTAATAAATCCAGTCCTTAACTCCATTTTCTTGTTAAGAAAGGTGGTCACACAGTTCAACATGGTCGACGGCTCCTCTAATAACTTATTATTTTTGCCGGGAAGAATTTGCTTCATGTTGTAAATATTGGTTTCTTTCTTCTTATTCTTCTTCTTCTTATCTGACAGTGATGGCTTCCCTGTGAGCCTTTGAACGAGTTCCCGAAAATTCGCCACGTCTGTCTTGATGATCTCTGGTGCAAATACATGAATTATTCGGATTTGGGGCTTCACTTTGGATATTATTTGTGAATTCTTGTTCATCTCTAATGCTGAACATGATGATGGACGACTTGCGCTTCTTGTTTTGCCAGCTTTTTCTTCCATGTTATTATACATCAATTTCTTGGTTCCTTCCTCTTGTTAATTTACTGGAATTTTTTGAGGTTGAGAAGAAGAAAGAAAGAACAATGGTGTGGTTGGTGAATTTGTTTGGAATTGAAGGAATTACTCAAAGGGTTTTTATATATGTATAAATGAGGGAACAGAAGGGGTTTCTCTTTTGTTTTTTATTTTAGAAATCAAGGACTAGAGAGAAAATTTTAACAGGAAATGACGCTGTCTGGTGTAGGCAAAGATTGGATGAATCCTGTACTGACATATATTAAAGAGAGAGTCAATAGAATGTAGAATAATTGGTCCCCATTAATCATACATTATATGAATATCAAAGAGAGATCCTTAAACATACAAAAAGGACCTTCTTGTCATTTACTGTACTAATAACATAAACTATACTATTAGGGTTTGTTTTGGTTCGAGAAATAAAGGATAATTAATCCCGTAATTAAATTTAAGATGAGTTTGTCCCATATTTGGTTAGGATAAAATCGCCGTATAATTAATTCAGAAATGGTAATGTTATTTTTATTTCTATGAGAGAACGGGATAACAATCTCAGGATAACTAATTTTGGGATAACTTGCTTCTCAACCAAACGACTCCAGCGAATTGGAGTTCTAGTTCTTCAAAGGATCAGTATAAAACACTGTTAGTTTATACTTCAAGTTTGAGCCTCAAATTTTATTATTGTAACAAAATGCAACTAACAGCTTGTTTGGATGGTTGTTACGCATCGTTTCATAATGTTTCGTATCGTACTATATTGTATTGTACTGTATCATTTAATAAATACAATGTTTGGATAGATTGTGTCGTTTGTCATCGTTTCATGATATCAAGCACCAGTATTATGAAGAATAAACTTGCAATATTATAAAGAAAAATTATGATGCAAGGTAAAATTACTATATAAAAAAGATAGGGTAAATGATAAAATAAAATAATTTAATAATAATAAAGGGTGAGATTGAGAGAAAAGACAATGTAATGACGCGACCACACCAATTCGGTCGTTACATAAAATGGCACATTTCGTCATTATGTAACGACGGATTTAACGATACGATACAATAAAATTTAAGTAACAATCAAAACAAACATTGTATTTAAAGTAACAATACGATACGATACAATGCGTAACAACCATCCAAACAAGTTGTAAGATGTCATGTGCTTATTTTTTGCTCCTTCTCTCTCTATATATGGGCTAACTCACAAACTGTAAGAGAAGAACCTAGATGTTTCATTTGGCTAGAGCATGGCATACTCTGCTGGCCAGAGTTCTATTTTAATTTCTTTCATTTGTTTTGGATAAGAATGGAAAAAGAAACTTTGAACTCATCAATTGAAAAACTTAATATAGCTCGGATAATCTTAACCGATGTAACACAATAGCGAATGACAAACAGTTAACTAGAAGAGAAATAGAAATGCAACAGGAGAATTAGAGAAATTGGTAATAAATAACAATGTCTAATAGGGAATATAGCTGACTTCATCATAAGTTTCGGGTGACAAACGGACGAATAAGCTGATTTTGGGTGGATCAAAATAAATTGATTCAATAAATGAATTATTGTCCGACCCTGTTCAAATTTCACTTGAACCGAAATGAGATGATCAAAATTAAATGGGCTAAACAATGGATCATGCCTGCCAAAACTTGGACGGTTGGGCAGATCATATTTTTATAAGCTAATTTTGTCACCCCTAATAAATTATATAGATTCTTATGGTTTTTGAAACAAAAGAAACCAAAGGTCATGGCCTGCATTATTAATGGTTCTCCTGTAAGGGACATATCCGCATCTCAGATTCAGGTACATAATCTCCTGATTGCAAGACATGTTTCCAATTTCCGAAATTTAATGACGGCCACTTAGACATTAAAATTTGCCGTTTAATAATTTTCTAAAGAAATGATGTTGAGTTAAAAAAATTCCAATCCAAATGCTTCAACAAACGGAAGAGGTGGTGTTAGCTCCAAATGCACACGCAAGTATATGTGATCAACCAGTAATATAATGATGAGTAGAGTGTCAATTCCACAAAGACTTGTCTTCAACTACCTATTAATTTCAACTCAATTTGTTACTAAGTCAAGTCGAGCAATGGTTGAATTTAGTTAATATTAACTGATGTGTGGCTATAATTTCATAGTTTCGTGCATTATGTGCCCTGCATTTTATATGCTTTAATGATAAATTACACTTTATTTGCACGTAATTGAGTCTATTTTATTTATAGGCAAATTGGAGATGAAAGTAGAGCAAAAATGGATGCTTAAACGTTGAAAGTGTGCGCGAGAACAGTGAAAAGGAGAGACCGGGCAAAAGCCAGATCAATTAGGCTTTAGCCTGGCGAGGAGGTCTAGTCCGAGTTTTGAAGCCTTATTCATCTCCTGGTTTGACTAGGACTTGGCTTACACGTTTAGGTCTTTTCCTACACGTAAAAATATACCTAAAAATGCCACTTTTGAAGGGGAGATCGAGTTTGGACACACTTTAGACCTAGGGAGAGCACGGAGTCATCGTGGAGACCGGAGATTCGACCTAAGGAGGCAAGACACACTAGAAGCAAGGCGGAGAATTCTTCTACGAGTTTTTCACTTTCTTCTTCCTATTTTCCATTACTGGTTATGAATTCTAGTATTGTAATTTTGCATACTATTATGAATAGCTAATTTGTTATCTAGGGTTTTGATGGAACCTGTTGAAGGATGATTTTCTCGTTACATTAATATAGATTTGCCATAGTATTCTTTCTATTTGTTCAACTATATGTTTATTGATGTTGATTGAAAGGCTCTCAATTAGCTATTCATATTTAGTGTGCGTTACTCGGGAGAGAGTGCATATTTAGTTAGTTGTTGAACAGCATTACTCCTAACGTATATGAGGGATCAATACAGAAGATTTAAAGGTAGGATTAGAGAAAACAAAACTTTAGTGCGATCCGAGTGAATCGTACTTAATGCCAGCTAGCGTAATTCAGGAGAATATGTCTAGTAAATTATGATAATTACTCAGGAGAGACTTACGACAGTCAGAGTGCTCGTGATTGGTGGAGAAGACTTAGGCAAATTTGTAGAATATGGAAAATCATAACTCTAGACCTCCTTAATCTTTTCTCTAACTCGTAGTATCTTTAGTTGTTAATCTACTAATTTAATTTGTTAGTTAATTAGATACAAGAATCTTAATATTTATAACTTAGGAATTATTCGAGCTTGTCTTCTTAGTAATAGGCAACAACTGTAGCTAAGCCTTAGTTCTCTGTGGGATTCGACTCCGGACTTCTTAACCAGAATATATTTGAAGCGATCGCTTAGTCCTTTTTATAAGGCATAGTTGGGCGTGATCAAATTTTGGTGCTGTTGCCAGGGAACTAACGGTGTAGTTGTAGTTGTAACTGTAGCTAAGCCTTAGTTCTCTGTGGGATTCTACTCCGTACTTCTTAACGAGAATATATTTTCAGCGACCGCTTAGTCCTTTTTATAAGACATAGTTGGGCGTGATCAAATTTTGGCACTGTTGCTAGGGAACTAACGGTGTAGTTGTAGGTGTACATAGTGCTAGGTTTCAAGTTTGAACTTTTATTTTTATTTTTTTATTTTTTTATTTTTGTGTTACCAGTTGATTTTAAAAAAACATGGTATCTTGGAATTATGAGAGTTTTGATGTTGGTAATTCTACTTTTGATCCTCCTTATGCATATTGTAGAGGAAACCACCCAGGGCAAAATTATCAAAATATTCCTGAGAGCGAGTTATGTGCACCAACTCAATATTATGTGTGGAATATGTGTGATATGTGTGGTAGTCAAGATGGTCAATTTCATGGTTGTGTTTATATTTCTTATCTTCCCCCAACCCTTTACTTTGATGGTTCTTCTTTTTCTTGTGAAGTTAATAGGAACAAAGAACCTAGGGATGATGACCTGAAAAAGATCGAGGATATGCTAAAGTGCCTTGTGGAACAATATGATGAGATACAACTGCGGGTACAAAGGCAAGATGCAACTATTCGCAACTTGGAGGCTCAAGTGAGTCAACTAGTTGATGCTTTTAATGCTCAATATTCCAATATTATGGATAGTAGCCAGGAGCAGTGTGCATTAGAGATGAAAATTGAGGTGTCAATGGAGGGGTCCAAAGTAGAACCCCAACACTCTAACCGGCTAGAATTTGAGGATGCCGATGTTGAATAACTAATACTAGAGTCAACCAGGAATGTTGAAGATACAAATTTAGTTGACCAGCTTCAGGAAGCGAGAGTGTTCTCCAAGATTGATCTCCATTTAGGTTATCACCAGTTGAAAATCAGGGACTCGGATATTCTTAAGACAACTTTCAGGACCCGATATGATAATTATGAGTTCTTGGTGATGTCTTTTGGGCTGACCAATACCCCGACAACGTTCATGAATTTGATGAACAACATGTTCCAGCCTTATCTCGACTCGTTTGTCATAGTTTTCATTGATGATATCCTGGTGTATTCGTGTAGTCAGGAGGAGCACGTGGAGCATTTGAGAGCTGTGTTGCAGAGGTTGAGGGAGGAGAAGTTTTATGCAAAGTTCTCCAAGTGTGCGTTTTGGCTTATTTAAGTGGCTTTCTTGGGGCAGGTGGTATCCAATGAGGGTATTCAGGTTGATCCGAAGAAGATAGAGGCGGTTCAAAGTCGGCCTAGACCGTCCTCAGCCACGGAGATTCGCAGCTTTCTTGGTTTGGCGGGTTATTACCTCCGGTTTGTGCAGGGATTCTCATCTATCGCATTGACCTTGACCAAGTTGACTCAAAAAGGGTGCTCTATTCAGGTGGTCGGATGAGTGTGAGGAGAGCTTTTAGAAGCTCAAGGTTGCCTTGACCACAACTCCAGTGTTAGTTTTGTCATCAACTTCAGGTTCATATACCGTGTATTGTGATGCTTCGAGAGTTGGTATTGGGTGTGTGTTGATGCATAAGGGTAGAGTTATTGCTTATG